TTTCCAGAACCTTCTACAGTTATTCCTAAAAACTACAAGGAAGAAATGGAAGAGAACTGGGATCATTCAAGACAAAATGGAACCTGTTCTGCAAATACTGTAGTGAAATCATAACTCAGTAATCGTTTTGTGACTGACTTATTTCACTTACATAATGTCCTCTAGTTTCATCCACGTTCTAGCATGTGTCAGAATTTCCCTTTTTAAAGCTAATTTTCCTTTTTTAAAGCTACAATATGCTACTGTATGTATATATCACATTTGGATTACAAGTTCCCTCCTTTGTGAACGTTTGAGTTGCTTCTACTTTTTGGCCATTGTGAATAATTCGGTTCTGAATGTGAGTATACAAGTATCTCCTCAAGTTAATGTCTTCAGTTACTTGGGTATATGTCCAAAAGTGGAATTGCTGAATTATAGAGTATTTCTATTTTTAATTCTTTAAGGAATTGCCATCTGGTTTCCCACAGCAGGTGGGCTATTTACATCACCTCGACAGTGTCCACAGGAGTTCCAGTTCCCTAAGTTCTCACCAAGACTGGTCATTCTCTGTTGGAAAAAAAATTATAATAGGTGTGAGGTGGGTTTTGTTTTTATTTTTGTAAGGATTAATAACATTGAGCATCTTCTCCTATTCTAGCTATCTAATTATCTCTAAAGAATCTTCTTTAAAGAAATGTCTATTAATGTACTTTCCTCATTTTTAAACAGGTATTTTATTTTAATGTTGACCTATAAGACTTATTTTTGTATAGTAGATATTATCAACCCCTTATCAGATATGATTTACAAATATTTTCTTCTATTCTACATGTTGCATTTTCACTGTGTTGATTATGTCTTTTGATGCACATTTTAAATTTTTATGTAGTCTAATTTATCTTCTCTTCTACTTTTGCCTGTATTTTGGTATTAAAGCTGTTAGTATGTAAATGTCTATAAATATTGACTTACTATGCTGAGAAGGTCACACTCCACCATCTTTCTGATGGTGGAGCTAAGAGTTTTACACTCTCCCATTTTGTACCAGGGGACAGTGCAGCTACGTGAGAACCCAGTGGCTTTCCCGAGCTTATTTGTCTTGCATTTTTGGTGACATGGATTGTTGTTCACATTGGCTTCCTCTGGTGGGTCCACCTGGAAAGCATTATATTTAGCAAGAAAAAGGAGGCTGTAAATGGTGTCACTGTAGACTGTGTATATTCCCTGTTGCTAATGTCAAATCTGTGAAGCATAAAGGGATTTAGTAGAGGATATTAAATTCCTTACAAATTGTTGAAAAGCCTTATGGCACAGGCTCCAGGAAAAGCCTCTAGAACAATTCCAAGAATGGCACTGCTGGCGCAGGCTGGGGAGGAGCTCCTGCTGCCTGAGACTCCACATTCAAGGTGTCTCTCGCAGAAAAGAGAGCAGCTCTTCTCACTACTGCCCCTAGAAGGACAGCAGCTCTGCTATCAACTACTAGAGACCTGACCCCTCTCTCTGACTGCCCATTAGCTGTGTCACTGCAGAGTGGTTTTGGATAGAGATGAGGGAGGGGAAGTGCCTGATCTCACCCAAATGTGTTCATTTTCCTGGTCTGGGTCACAGCCAGGCAGCACAGTCCTGTGGGCACAATACCTTCACTTGCCAGGTTTCTATAACATTAGAGTATCTTTCTGGACTGTGGACAACATGGAGGTGGGGAGGGTCAAGGAATAAAAAAAGGAGTACTTGCAGTTTCCTGAGCTGCCACTCCGGTTTCCCCAAATGTTTTCTATCCATTTAATTCGTGATAATAAACATCTTCCTGCCTAACCAGCCATAATCACTTTTCTTAGATCCAAATGATTCAGTGATAAAACTAAAGAGGAAAAAACCAAATAAGCTTTTCAACATTTAAACTTACCAGGAAGCTGTCCCTGGTGTTTACAGCTCCATATCCCACTATGTGTTTCATCTTCCCTTTGCCTCACTGGGGATCCAAGTGCAGGGAATGCTTCACAGTCATGTGATCCCTAGAACTTCATCTTGATGACTGTTGAAATCTTCTCTGAGTTTTACCAGTGGAAATGGCAATAAATAGAAACATTCCAGAAGGTCCCCTAGGGTCCATATTTTCTGTACTTCCTCTCTAATATATGTAAAATCAATTCTATTTTTTCTTGCTTTATATTGGCTACATCTGTGTTCCCAGTACACACCCTAACGCTCTGTGTTGACCACTTGTCCACTATTGTATTAAGTCTAAATGGTCTTATGCTTATCATATTATTTCTTCCAATTTAATGAAATAATTGTCATGTCAAATCTTTGGACTAAGAGCCATCTATCAGAAAACCACAGCCCTGAGAAAATAGAAATAGAGTATTTCAAGCTGTTCAGTTTGCATAACAATGATGAGTCTACAGCTCATTTACAAGATATAAATATTCTGTTTATGGGAGTAATAGCACCATTCATGGTTAGTGTTGCAGACCCTCTGCCACATCTGACAGCATAGCAATTCAATGGTACAAGGGTTTATGTGCCAGATTTGCTTGACTAACAGTGGGTTTTTCTTTGTCTATAGGGAAAGCTGCACCTGTTCACATGACAAGATCATGAGCTACATTTTCACTTTTTTTGAAGTCAATAGGCTGCTTGATCCAAAGCCATATTATGGAAGAACTTCTTGACTCTGATGAAAGCACTTGGAAAATCCTCAAATAATATTTTATGCAGAAACATAACCGAAGAGAAAGGAAAATTCTTATATAGGATAATAAGCACTGCCCTTCTTTTGTGACATCAGGTCCACTAGAATCACCTGACATTAACTGTTAGTCTGAGCCCTGATGTGTGGTATAATGTTAGGGGTTCAGGAGGGGTCAGTTTTCTTGGCAAATTAGGTGTTCAGAAGACCCAATATCCCTGTACATCTCAATTAGTTGAAACTCATATTATTGAGTCCCCACAGGGACCTCCATAACATTGGTTCATGAGGCTACCTGGGAAAGTGGGCAAAGGTGATTGACTGAAGTCCATGTGTTCAATCATCCTCATTATTAAGAACCCCCTGCTCATTAATGGCATTTGGATTAATATTCACTTGGAAAGCATGTTTGTTTCTTGATTATGGATCATTTTTGAAACATCTAGTCATAGGTCTTCCAGAGTGACTTTGTCTGCATTCATCCTGTTGCGTTTCTTCTAAGGCCTGATGGAGACTTTCAGTGAGTACAAATTTTTAAGAAAAAGTTTACTCTATTTAATTATAGAGGTGTTTTATCATTCCGTGGATAAATAATTATGTTTTCAACCTTTACAATCCTGAAAATATTTGCAAATGTAAATTTGCATTAATAATAAAATAAAGCTGGATGTGTTTTCAACATGTGGCTTTAAATATAATTTTTAAATGGCCTCAAAGGGGGAAAATCATTATAACTTTTGTAAATGCCCGTTTTTATCTCTCTTGTGTCCTACAGAGTTGCCCAATAAGAGATCCTGGAAGTCAGAAGAGATTTGGAAGTCAGAAAAGGATGACTCAATATTCTCCATTGGTACCTAAGACAGGCACATAGACAGACGTGAGGACTGGAGAAACACCTGGAAATAAGCTGTAGGAAGCTGAGACAGTAGTGAAGATCACATGGTTAGATAGCCCATACTTCAGGGGCAGATGCATTCTGTTTGCTGAGGGAGCACCAGAGATTCCTGCTTCTAATATCAGCTTTCCTGACTGCTGTATCCTTGGTTTTGAAAGGTGTAGTGTGAAAGTTAATCACAGGAATTGGGTCATTCTTGTGATATCCAACAGAGCCAAGAAACCAGGAGGGAAAGGCACTCAGGGTGCAAAATATTGTGTCTAGAGTGCAATCGAAATAGGCCTTATTACCCCATGGAACTAAGGTTTATGGTTTTTTGAATAAACAGAAATTGACTCCCCCCCCAGTTTTAAAACTCAAGATAGTTACGTTTATCTTACCTTAGTTTTTTTTTTTGTTGTTGTTTGTTTGTTTGTTTGTTTGTTTTCAGGAAACCAACCATCAGGCCTCCCAGATGCTATCAAGGAGCTGAAACTTACATATCACTGAATTGGGACAATGAGACATCAGACCCTTTGCCCATTATGATTGCCTAACTGATCTCCTGCTTCCTGTTGACAAAATTATCTTTCTTACTCCTCCATAATTCCTATTTTCCCACATTTCTTCCTTGCTATATAAACCCCTAATTTCAGTTGTTCAGGGAGATACGTTTGTGAATGGTGTCCCATCTCCACAGCTGCAGTACCTGATTAAAGCCTATTGCTTGGCAATACTGGTGTTAGTGATTGGCTTTCTGTGTGGTGAGCTGCAGGATCTACACCGAATCCCTGGCATTTCAGTAACGAAGTTCTCTGCGAGCTTCACTGTTTTGGTTTATTGTAACCTGAAATCAAATTTAACCACAACTTCTGAGATAACTTGATATAATTCTAAGGTTGACTTTGTCCACCACTGCTTACCAGCCTGAGCTTACCAGCTCCTAAGCCTTACTAGTGCCAATGAACTTTCTCTAAGAGCCACAGCTAACATTTTCCCTTTTTCATAAAACTCTAAGCTTCTCTTTTTTCTTCCAACATATTGAAGACCACTGAGTTTTCCTGTATGCCCCATTTGGCAAATATTTATTTGCAAATGAACCATTAAATTTAGAGATTCATCTCTACATTTTATTTAGAATTCAGTAGGTTAGAGTTTAATTCTCCATATTAAGAGAATTCCTACTTCAAATATCTATAGTGGCCTCTTCTCTGTTATATGAATTCCAACTGAAGCCCTAAACTAGACTCCTCAGGTGTCATGATCTCTGTATTTATTAAATCAGGAGAAGCATTGCTATGTTTGTGTAGTTGGGGCTGAGAAAGAGAAAAGAATTCAGGTGCAGAGGTGACTTCATGTCCCTCTCTACCAACACCATCAGAGTGTGGCTGCATCTGAGGAACACTTTCAGCCCATGGAGGCATCAGGAGGAGCAGCTGGGGCAGCCCAGCCTCACATATCTGCTTCCTTGGGGGTTTTTGTTCGGGTGTGTAACACTGTGGGAGGGGCGCTGCTAAACTGTTGACAGTAATAAGTTGCAAAATCTTCAGGCTGCAGGCTGCTGATGGTGAGAGTGAATTCTGTGCCAGATCCACTGCCGCTGAACCTTGATGGGACCCCACTTTGCAAAGTGGATGCCTTATAGATCAGGAGCTTAGGGGCTTTCCCTGGTTTCTGCTGATACCAGGTTAACCAGCTGCTAATACTCTGACTTGCCTGGCAAGTGATGGTGACTTTGTCTCCTACAGATGCAGACAGGGAGGAAGGAGACTGGGTCATCTGGATGTCACATCTGGCACCTGAGATTGGAAATAGAAACACAAATATTCATACTATTGACCATATTATAGGAAGACTTCCCTAAATAGCCAGGCAGTACTGACAACACTGGGTTTTCAGTACTGAAAACTGCTAGGGTTCTCCTTCCTTACCTGGGAGCCAGAGCAGAAGGAGCCCCAGGAGCTGAATGGGGACCCTCATGTCCATGTTGTGTCCTGACTGGGTCTGACTCCTGCACGAAGTGTGTCCAGCCTATTAATAAATCTTCAGGGCAGGAGGATGTGTTCTGAGAACATGCAAATGAGCTGGGGAGGGGTCAGGCTGGGCACAGCTGCAGGGCTGGCTCATGTCAGTAACTCAGCAGCATCTCAGTGTCCCCAGGTGTCCCAGGTAAGACCAGGGTAGCCCAAATTTGTCTGCAGAGAATGTGTTTCTACTGGGGACTATTTTGTTATGAGAAACAGTTTTAGGGTTTTTTTGGACAATTTTAAATATTCCTCAGGAGCCAATAGAGCAATGTATTTCATTGGTGTATGGGGATTATTTAGGAGAATATTCTTGTTTGTAGGAAACACATAGTAAAATGTTAGATAGTAGGATTCTCAGTCCTTCAAAAGACTCTCATAAGAGTCCAGTTAGGGAAGGGGGTAATTGTGCTATACTTGAAACATTTCTGTGAGTTTAGCATTGTTCCTTCCTAAAAAAAATTAAAAATAAAATGTATCGACATGATGCCATATATATTTGTAAGTATTAGGTAATGGTGTTATGCCTTTGTTCTTACTAGCATTAGATCAAGCAATTTACTACAGATACACAAAGATGATACCATGTTTTCTCAATGCATGCAGCAGTCACAGATCCACCATTATTAAGAGTGACAGGTCTCTATAGTACCCAGAGACTAAATGAGGTGCACCTTATTCTTGTTTTGGGCACCTTCATAGTCTACCTTCTTTACTGTCATTGAGTATTATTTCCCAAAGTTCATCCGTCTTATGGTGGCCACTGCAGGGAGCATGTCCCTGCCATGCACCATCAATGACACTTTCTTCTTATACTTTTTATCAGTGTGTGGGGACATCATCCTGACCCAGACACCAACCTCCCTGTTTACATCTTTAGGAAAAAGATACTCAGTCTCTTACCAAGCAATTGCCTATGTACATGGAGAAATCAGTTGGATCCAGATGACTCTGGACAGGGATTTGCACTCATTATATCTCATACCTCTATTGTGCCCCAAAATGTCCCAGCCTGTCTCAGTAGCAGGGAAAGTGGACCCAACTATATCAGGATCAGTGGGCTGCAACATAGGGTTGTATAAAATTTTACTGATGACTAGTAGGGGAGCCAAATCACAGTGCTGTAGCCTGTGCACAAACCTTCCTGCTGTTTTGTAAGCAGCCTGAATTTTAAGGGAACTTGCTTATATTGGGAAAAAGGAAGAAAACTCCATTTGTCCTTTAAATGTTTGCTGAAAATGAATTGACAAAAGAATGATTAATAAGAGAAAAGGCAAAATTCACTTAAAGTGCAGCAGGTTATTATTGCAGGGTGATTACCCAGATAACTCAATGAGATCCAGTTATTCATATTTCCTTTCTACTGAAGAGGGAATTGGGAAGTGTGGGAAACCTAGAGATAATAGATGAGAATAGAAGTGCATCTTCAAAAGAACAGGTATTTCTTGTCTGGATAAAGCCTCAACTTCCAGTCTCTTCTATTTTTGATTCATGTTTTGTGTTAATCTTCCCTGATATAAAAATTCCCAGGAAGAATTTCCTTGACAATTGTTTTTCTTCTTGAGAATTTGCTTTTTGGCAGATAAGGGATATTTAGGAAAAGGCTTTTTATGCATTTGCTGCTTTCTAAATGCCTTTGGTTTCACATAATCATCATACCAATCAGTATAGTTTGAGATGTTATTTCCTGGATTCCTTTACTTGAAGCCACCTGCCAAGATCCTATTCCGGAGAGATGCAGCTACAGATTGAATGAGCAGTTGACGCCTGAACAACGTGGAGGTTGGGGCACTTACTACTGGCGCAGCTGAAAACCTGTGTAGAACTTTTGCATCTTTAAGTACTGCATTATATTTGACTGGAAGCCTTAGTGATAAAATAAATAATTGAGTAACACTTTTTTACATTATATATATTTTATACTCTATTCTTCCAATAAAGTATGCTAAAGAAAAAAATGTTATGAAGAAAACCATAAAAATGAGCAAATACATTCACTACCGATTAAGTACTTGCTCTCAGGTGACACACAGAAGAAAATATAAGTGGATCTGCAAACTTCAAACCCAAGTTATTCAAGGGTTAACTGTTCCAGGATGAATGTAGCAGTCCCCATCTGTAGTCTAGGGCTTTCCCCTTTGCTGTACCTCTGCTCACTTCCATTGGCCGTATATATGTATTATGTTCTTTATGATCTTGGGCAGAGAACTCTTCCTACATGCATTGCTGGCCAGATGTCCTGGAATGTGTATATCTGAGGAAAGTGCTGTGGTGTGACTCTGTCCTCCAGAATCCATCTGTTGTAAAGTTAATTCTCAGTGTAATGATATTGCCAGGTGGCGCCTGTTGGAATGTGTTTAGGTCTTGACAGTGGAGCCCTCTAGTGGAATGCCAGTATAAACAGGGTTTATGGAGTTGGAATCTTTCTCTGGCTTCTGCTAGTCTGTCATGATAAGACAAAAGCCTTCCTTCCTTTGAAGAACTCAACTATCCAGGCATCATCTTGAAAGCAGAGAAAGCAGATATTAACCTGCCCATGCCTGGATCTTAAACTTCCCATTCTCCAGAAGTGAGAGAAAATATATTTCTGTTTTTTATGAATTACACAGTGACAAGGAACCTGTTATAGCAGCTTGAAAGAGAACAGGAGATACAGCTCACAATCAGTGAGGACAGGATGAGGTGTACATATACCTCAGCTTCGTCATCTCTCAGGTGGAAGAGCCCAGAGGAATTTAGTCCATGTTTCCACATGTGGTGGATCTTCAGTTCTCCTGAGTCAGGTGGGTTGTTGATGTGTCTTTTACCATTCATCTTCTGCCCCTCCTTCACTTTCCTCCTTTCGTCACAGTGTAAATTTGCTGCTTAAACAGGAATCTTCATTGCTGATGGACCCAAACCAAGATAGTAAAAAAAATCGTTAATCTTTTGTATGAGGGGTATTTCTCATCTGAATTCTTATCACTTCTCTTTCTTTGACATGTCGGACTATTCAGCAAGCACTTAATTTTTTTGTTGTTGCTGTTTTTACTAATCTATTTTAGATTGAA